ATTTGTAACTTTTTTCAGACTGCTCATACCCTACCGTGCACCTCTCTATCGCCTTAGGTGAACTTTAACTTTAAATATTTGGGGACTATGGTATTCCATGACTTATAAGAAGTCTGGGGTTATTAAAAGAACTCTTTAATAGCCCAAATACAATTCATACTCTTCCCCCTCTACTAGTTAAATTCCACATCAAGCTCACTGGTCGTTTTCAGTGTTTGTTCAAGATATATGCATTTATGGACAAGTTCTATGGGTTATCTACACCAATGGTGTCAAACTCAAATAGAAATGGGTCACTAAACTGAATATAAGGATCTCTGGTGCCCATGTACTAACATAGAAAACCATGTATGTGTGTGTGACATCCTCCATGATACTGGCAAACATCTTTGGCATAAAATACCCTGTTTTATTTTGAGGTCTATTGTTTTACATCTAACATGTCCTCTCAACCACAAATCCTCAAAGTTATCTTTTATTAGAAGGAAACTTATATTGATTTTGACATATGCATGGGCGATATCTTCTTGGAGGAGAGCCTTGCACTTGAGCTAATATCTTCATTGTGCACTCCACTGCAAAGTTGAGATGACGGAAGTGCTCCATGAATGGTTCCAGTTACCTTTGTTTGCAAAAGAAAACCAACTCCTTTATTTGCTTCTGAAATGAGAACTTGTGAACTATCTTTCCATTTAGCTGTAATTCCCTTATGTCCTCTGGTTTTATTTCTCCCTTTATGTCACTATTGATATGATTCAGTGACTCCACTAGAATGTTGACTCAATTTCCACTAAACAAAGAGATCACATTTAGAGATACATATAGCCTAAATAATTAGCACCTTTTGCCCCCTCTTTTTGGCCACTCTTCCACTGTTACTGAAGAGAAAAAAAGGAGGCTGCACAGGACTGAGGATTCAAAAAACATTTATTAATATCTTTCATTTTCATATCAACTGAAACTGCCATCATTTACAGCACTCCACACTCATAACATTACACCACTGCAAAGAATGATCTGAGACGCATTCTCATATCCCTTCTTGGCCCCAAATTTGGTTATTACAATTTCATAGATTCAGTTTTAAATATTGCACTACTGTTTTTTCTGTTTACATTGTTGTAAACACTGTACATAACAAATTCTTGGTTCTACTTACTTCATTTCGTACCAGTTCACATATATTCATCTTCCTTACAAAACAGTAATATTCTACTACATCACAACATTAATGTTCCACAGCTTGTTTAGCTATTTCCCAAGTCAGGGGTCATTTGCTCTGTCTCTAGTTCTCTGTTACTACAAAAAGTTCTAATATAAATATTTTGGTATACATGGGACTAAAGGTGATTTTAAATTTTTCATCTAGGTGCTAACTCAATAGTGAGGAGTCTTTCTGTACTTAGCTAGGCTGGTCTTTAGAAGAGAGATAACTGTGTGTGTAGCCAGATCCATATTTAAAACTGGCTCCAGTGGAGTTTATGCTCCATTTGCATAGCTTTTGACAACCTAGGGCACTTCAACGTCATAATGAAGTTTGAAGCCTAAAAGGAAAGGGATAGGGACTAGACCTATTTGTCACTGGTACAGGTAACTGTCAGATGAGGAAATTCTCCCTATCAATTCAGAAGCCTCTCTGAAAACTACAGCCTTACAGAACCATTCAGAGAATGGTGAGGCTACCTAACCTGCGCCCAGGCCTGCAGAGCCACTATGTTTAAGAGACAGGACATGAACCCAGGCCTTCCTAGCTTTGAGACTAACCTGTCTGGGTGATTACATTATACTGCCTCTTGCAGCCTATACATGTTTTATAAATACAAGCTATTATTATTCTTTCCTGAGAAGAATTAAGACCACAAGAGTTCCTCTCATTAACATAAAATGATTAAGAAAATTCACATTTGCAGTTAAGTATACCTATCTAAAGACGGATGATTTTTTACGTATGGGTTTAAATATCACATTTCTTTTTGTAATGTATATTTTAATACCTGTTGTTTACATTGCTTCAAATTTGCCAAAAGGAGTAAGTGCAATTCACGTAAAAAAGAAAAAAGATCCTATTTTTTAGTTAATGTAGGAAAAAAGGCAATTAGAATCAACAGAAGAAACTTCAAAAAAAAGTAACATCCTACAAAACATCTTCCAGAGAAGTTCTGTTGTTACTGTTATTTGTTGTTGTTGTTGTTGTTGTTCAGTTGTTTCAGTCATATCTGACTTTTCAAGACCCTATCTGGGATTTTCTTGGCAAAGATACTGAAGTGGTTTGCCATCTCCTTCTCCAGCTCATTTTATAGAGGAGGAAACTGAGGCGAACAGGTGACTTCCCTAGAATCACACAGCTCCCCAGATTCACACAGCTAGTAAGTGTCTGAGGCTGGATTTGAACTCATGAACGTGAGTCTTCTTGATTCCAAGACCAGTCAGTGCTCTATTCACTGTGCTTCCCAACTGCCCCAGGCACATTATTATTAAACATAAACATATTTAAGCAAAGTGTCATTAATTCCTCCAGTTAAGCTATCCTAGTTATTGTTTAGGGAAATAATAGTGCCCTGCTGTTGAATAACTTTAATGCTTCATGCAGTTCTGAACAACACTGTCTTAAAAAGACAGCTTATTAATTTTTACTTCAACTGGTAATTTATGCACAATCTCTTTAGGAAGATGCTGCAGCGATGAAGGAGGACAGGCTAAATCGTCATTAAGCATGGTAAAGGTTTAATAAAATAAGTTGGGTATAAGAAGCAGCAGCACACATGCAGAAGATCATAATTAAAAATCTTCCTAATTTTGAGATCAGCTATAAGGGACTTAGAAGGATGCAGTCTTCTGGAGGAAAAGATTCCCTAATTTTAAAACACAATTATTAAGACAAAGTAGCATAATGAAAATAAGCCCAGATCTTCCAGATCTGCCTTATCAAGTGTGCTTATATGTATATGCAGAAGCATCCAATCCTATTTCTGTGCCTAAGCGCGGAGGAAGCAGCTTAGCTGAGAGTCAAACTCACTGCTGACTCATCGCTTCTCTGACCAAAGAACCTCTATTCACCACCATTTGGCAGCAGGGTAAACTTCGAGTCTGTCTCCATAATATTTTGTCAGTGGCTCTAAAGGGGGGTTAGCACTTTTCCTGTCCCTCCAGGACCCAGCAAGTTAAATGTGAAGGCACAGAAGAGGCTGAAGAACACAGTACCATTTTAGTACCAACCTTGCCACTTGCCATCTGTATCACCTTGAGCAAGTCAATCACCTTTATGAGCTTCAGTTTGCACACCCATAAAATGGAAATTATAGTAACTGCACTATCTACTTTGAACAGCTGTTGTGAGGATCAAATGAAATATCATGAAAGTATTCTAGAAATGTAACCTGTTCTTATTACTACTTTATTAGACAAAAAATTTTTAGGAACATGAAAGAAAAATTAAAAAGCTTCAGACAAAAGTTTCTACATATTTACTAGTAACACTGAATGTACAACTTAAATAATGCCCAACCCCAGTTTAGTAAAACAAAATAACTAGGAAATAAATACTATGTATGGATAGGGCACAGATAGCCACAACCAAGTAGCAAATACAACTACTAACTCACACCTGAACAGGAACTTATCCAGTTTAGGTATCTTACTTGATCCTCAAGATGAAAGTAGAATTATTCCCGTTTCACAGGTGCATAAACAGAGGCTAAGCATAGTTGTCTTTACCAAAAGTCACAACCAAAGAGTGACTTGTGCCATTAATAACCACTACAACCAAAACTGAAGTAAAAAGTAGGACATACTTAATTTTTATGAACATTGGGACAGAGTAAATTTTCTTTCAAATAATTAGCATGGCCTCTGACCTAAATCTGGTTATGTTACATTTTTGCATAACAGCAATAAACAGACATCAGTATAGTGTTTTAAAGGCTACAAAGCACTTTTCATAGATTATATCATTGAAGCCTCCTAACAACCCTAGGAGGTAGGTACTATTAACTCCCTTTTATTGACAAGAAAAGCACAGCTCATTGAGGCCTGTGATTTGGCCCAGTCCATTCAACCAAGAAGTACCAGAAAAGGAATCTGAGCCCAGATCTCCTTGACTCTAAGCTCAGTCAGGCCCTGTGTCCATTTTGCTAGGCTGCCTATTTGTTCAACAAGTAAAAGCATATATTGATTTCATTTACTGACTTGCCTAAAAGTTAACTAACTAAAAAAGACCATATGCAAAGCATGTGTTGTTAGATAAAAATCTAGATGTGTGAAAATCCAACCTTCAAATATAATGGTTAAAGTGATAAAAATGAATTAAGTTGCAAATTCACGCTATAAAGACATTCTCTAATTTAATTTTAAAGGTTAAAACAGATCTACAATTTCTAAATTTAAGGACACAGGTTCCTTGAGCAAAGGGAAACAGAAAGCTAAAGAAGTGTTAATACTGTTTTTAAAAGCTTTGAGCTGCAGATGGAGCAATAAATTTTGGGGATGTTTTCCTCTAAATAAAATAAGATTTTTTAAAGTGACTTTTTCAAAAAGTGGCTCAAATATTTTACTCTTCCGTCAATTCAAGTTGTCTGAAAGATAACTCTAAGAACTTTTTTTTTTTCCTGGAAGAATGACTAGCAAATTTTCCTCTTATTTAACTCTCATACTAGAAAATTTTTTTTTCAAAATTAGTTAAGAAAAAATTATACCTAGAATTTGTAATTGTTACAGTAATGGTTACTGTTTGGAAAAATACTGAAAAAAAACCCCACAAAATTATAGCCCTACTGTGTTATTTCAGCAAAAATAAAATCCAGATACCATTAAATATCTATATGCAATATCTTTATTTTAATAGAGGAGAAAACATCTCCTTGAATAGACTACTCTGAGGTATACATATCATGATAGAGTGATACTAAAATGATATAGTTAACTAAATTTGGTTCTACAAAGGTATATAAAATGCAGTATGTCTTAATAAAGTCCCTTTCAGAACACAAGTGAAAATTACTTACTGGTTGCATAGCTCTGGATGTCTAACTAAATTCTGAATGAATTCATTCAGTCCTGCTCTTCTCTGTTTAATAAAATCTGTTAAAAAAGAGACATATGCTAGTAGGATTATTCATGTCAGATCATAGATATCTTACTTGGAGTTATTAAAACAAAGACATAGACAATAAATACTGTTTAGGAAGTTATGACATAACTCTTGTTGCTATGTACGTCAGGTTATTTTGCATTGAAGTAGAGCTCCAGCACACACACATACATACACAGACACACGTATATATACACATATATATTATATATGCTTTTAACTAGTGAAATACAAATTTTGAAACTATTAACATGATATAAACATATTCCTCAAAACTCATTTCCACAAAAATTACCATTTAAGGGTCTAAACTATTCTGCCTACCAAAACAAACATTCTACATCCTGTTTCCCAACCCTTAATACTGTTATCACATCAACAAAAACTGGCCTTGTGCTAATGGTGTTGAAAGATGAGAGTAAAACCTCAATGAATAAAAATACTGAGAGAACTGATTATTGTAGTTAACTGAAATTTTCAGTTAACTGAAGATTAACAAGAAAAAACTTGTTTCATTCCTTCTTGTTAATTATCTTTCTATAAGGTACTGGTATCCTTTCTTACCTTAGGAAGTACTGTTTGTTTTTGGCCTGGACTTACAATGTCATAAGGGGAATTAACTGCTTAGTTTAAGAGGGTTACCTGGGACAATGAGAGGTTAAGTGAAGTGTCTGTGATCAAATAGTTAGTATGTGTCAGAAGGATTTAAACCAAGTTCTTCTTGATGCCAAGGCTGCCCCCTTCTGTCATTGCCCCATTTCTCATAGCAAGAACTAGATAAACTTACTCTTCGATAACAGGATAGTACAGATGCTGTGGTACATCATTCTGAACATCAAGTTTTGTTGCGCAGAACTGCAAATATAGTTCGTGTATAAGGAGATGGAGCTGAATGTATACTAAGTATAAGTGACACTTTGGCAGCATATATATGTGTATATGTGTGTATGTGTATAAAAATTCCTGATATTAGCTAGTTTCTCAATGATTTCCCTCCTTAGAAAGACCACCCAAAACCAAAACCAAAAAGCCCAAACTTGAAACCCACAAAAAAACATCCCAATGAGCTATTAAACAATGTTTTCGCAACAGACACTGGGCTTTCATACTTTACAAAATCTATGGATACAGTCTCTTGAGTCTTTTAATAAAGATCCTCTTCAGACTTAGAGCTGACTTTTCTCACTCAGAAATCACTTTCTCAGGGAATTGGAGGGAAAATTTTGTTGTTGTTGTTTGCATCACAGGACATTAAATGGTTTATGTGAAAATTCTACCCAGAAACAGTCTTGATTTTCATAACTTGATTTAAAGGATGTGTAGTTTTTCCTTTTCCCCTCGTATCCCCAGTGCTTAACATAGTGCTTGGCACACATAAACCAATTAATTAATGGAATGCACTACTGCTCCCACATTTAGCCACTTTTATAGGGGAGAGGCAGGATAGGGCAAATGAAAATTTGGGATATTGTGGAAAAAGTCCAGATTGTTAGTCAGGTGTAGCCAGAGCGAAACTGTGCTTTGTGGATACTTACTGGAAGTTATGTTTTGGTTTTGGAGGCCAGTTGCAAAAAGACAGGTATTTCCTTTCTTTAATAAGCATGTAGCCTATACTACACTAAATGCTACTAGACTTTCCATCTCATTACTAACTTTATTTCTACCATTTCAACCACTCAAGCTTATTAAATGACTAAATGGGAATAACTGATCATTCTAACAAAATTAATTATAGCAAGAGAGAAAAAATGGGCTTCAGGAGAAATAGAATCAAAAAATTTAGAAATGAAAGGGACCTTAGATATCAACTAGATACCATCTATATTTATCAACTGTTTCACTGCACAGATGAGAAAATTGGACCAGAGAGAGTTTAAGTGATTTACCCAAGGGCCCAAACCAGTAACTGGCAGAGTTAGGATCCTACTGCCAGTCTTTTGTCTCTAATTCTCCTGTTCTTTCCACCATACCATATGCTACCTCATTTGTCTCAGCAGTATTTCTTTCAATAGAGAAGCTCTAATTTTTCCTCATCCAACCATTTTTTCACAGAAAATATTAATTGTCTTTACTATGCCAATTATTAACTGTGAAATTACATAATAAAGTACTCAGTAATAGTAGCTAGCATTCATAAAATGTTTTAAGATATGCAAAGCACTTTACATAGATTATCTTGTTTGACATTCACAATAACTCTGGAAGGTAGGTATTATTATTGTTCCCATTTTACAGATGGGAAAACTGAGGCTCAAAGAGGTTAACTATCTATCTTAACTAGTCACAGAGTTAGTAAATATCCAAAGCAGCATTCAAACTCCAGATCATCACTCTCTACTACAACAACTAACTCATACCTGTTTAGAGATTATCTCTTCCAAATCCTTGGTAAAGAAAGGAATGAAGGAAACAAGCATTTATTAAGTGCCTACTATGAGCCAAGCATCTTGCTAAGCACTTTACAAATAATTATCTCATTTGTTCCACATGACAATCCTGGAGAGACAGGTGCTATTATTATCACCATCACCATTATCTCCACTTAACAGATGGGGAAACCAAGGCAAAAAGAGGTTAAGTGACTTGCCCAGAGTCATGCAGCTAGTGTCTGAGGTCACATTTGAATTCAGATCTTTCCGTCTCCAAGCCTAGAGCTCTATCTAGTGTGCCTCCTAGCTGCTTCTAATTGAGAAAAACTGCTGCTTTCACACAGCATCAAAGGTTCAAAACTAAGAAAGTAAAACATAGCCTGACAGAGTGGAAAGGACGATGGTGCTGGTCTCAGAAGACACAGAGCTCATACCTGGGCTCAGTGGGGAGGACGCTGTGTCATCGCAAGCAAGTCATTTGAGCTATGAGCCTCTGTTTCCACCTACCTACTCCCTACCTGTCCGAGTTCTTTTAACAATCAAATAACAACAGATATCATATATCTTATAAACATTATAACATTAGGTAAACATTAGCCATTGCTACTCTGTTCCACTGAAATTGTCCTCCAACATCTCACTGGGACACCAAGTAACAACCCGTGCCAGCAGATCACATGCTCTCCCATTAAATTGGAGAGGTTTCCAGTGGAGGCCTGGTGATGGACTCTTCCACATCTGTCATCCAAGAACTAAGGCTGGTCCTTAAATGATAAAAATAATCCGTAGCCTCAGAAATTTGCAGAAACAATTTATCAACATGAAATAGTTGCAATCTTTATTTTGGAAGGAGGGAGTCATGATGAAGAAATCACAGTTCCCTAAGGTACTGTGTCACACTCACATAGATGGAGGAACAGAACTGCTACAAAGTGTAAAAGGATTTTTTGGATTTTATTTCTGAATTTGAACCCTACCCCAGGTGTATTAATCTCTCGTCCTGTGGGAAAGGAAAAGCACCTTCAGCTGGCAGGACCAGGCTCAGCCACCAAAGAGTACCCTCTACTGGCACCCTGCTCCATGATCCATCTTCTCTACTAGTCACCTTCAGGAAGAGAGCAAGGGCACCTGTGCCTGGGAAGCCCCAAGCAGGCCCCAGACCCATACCTGGCTGCTGACCAGTGCATGCCCTCTGCAAATGACCGTATCTCTTTCCCCACCCCCAATATCCCACTCTCTTGCAGGGGAGGGGCCACCCAGAAGAAGAAGCAAACACAGGCCCAGCCAGGTCCTTCTGCAATACAACTTGAAGTCTGAGCTGCTTTGCCCATTCTCCAACCTTCTAGTCTTCCTATAGCTTTTTTCTGTTTGTTTTTTTTCTCCCTACCCTTGTAATAATTAATCACTGACTACTTAGGAGAAAACCGTCCCCACCCTCCCTCTTCATGTTCTTTTATGTTCATACTCTTCACTTTATTTCACCCAAATCCCAATCTCAACTCTTCTGCTACGTACTCTGAAATGCCCATTCCATTCTGAACAAACTCCCCTTCATCCTGGACCTCTTTCCCTCATGTTCTTTCCATCTATTAGCCCTCACTGAGGTCTGGCACCCCTTAAAGATCTCTGCATACTGGGTCATCCTCTCCAGCACTGACCACCTTCTCTCATATCCCTTCCACTTTGCTCCTGGAGAGGAAAACAGAACACTCCTTGCTCCTCACTGTCACTGCCAGATTCTCTCTTTACCCTTTTTACTAAGCAGTAATCTTTCCTCCTTTTAAGTATATTCAATCAAAATTATGGTAGATACAGGAAAATGACCCCGACCTAGGTCATGCTCCCTCTTTTTCTCATCAAGCTCAGCACCTGGCTCACCATCTTCCTCTCTTCTCCAACTCCTGCCTTTATATTAGCAGACTTTATATCTATGTAGATGCTTCCACACAAGCTCCTTAAATTTCCTTTTTCTCCAATTCCTTAAGGCTCATGATATACTACTTTGCTCTACCTCAGCCACACAAAAAGATGGTCACACACTATCTCACCATTACCCACAAGCATTCTGCTCCCCTAAATAGAAACTTTTCCCTCTCTTGACAATCACCTATCACTCCACCTCTCCCTACACTGCACTCCTCCTAAACTATAATTTTTCAACCTCAGTATGCTCTCAGGCCAACACACCTGCTCCTACTTCACTTTTCTCTCTTCCCCAAGTCAACCTAATAGCTGTTTCAACCCTACATTGACCTCTGCTCTTGAATCCCTTGTCCCTTTTTCTCATCACTGGCTCTTCTCTTGTCAAACCTCAGCCTTAGATTATTCCTACCATCTGTCTTCCCCCATTCCACTAGATGAAGTTGGAGAAGATCTCATAACCATGATAACTGGTTACTAATTCATTGGGCCTGTAAGGCAGCGAAGTGGTCCTTTTATTCCTCCCTTGTTAATTGTCAATCTCACTCCTCAAAGAAGCTATTCCAAATCTTCTATTTCCTCAGACCTACCACAAGTCCTACCCCATACCCCTCCACAGCTAAGGATTTGCCTCTTACTTTACTGAAAGAAATGAAAGTTATTCAACATGATATCCCTCTTTTTTTCTCATTCTCTTCATC